AACCTGTCAACTGAAGATTTTGCAACAGAGAGACATGCGAATTGATATAAATTAACTTAAAGGACTCAATCAAGGCAAGCTACTCTGAACTTAAGTTAACACAAGCACTGTCAAAGTTTCCAGTATCTCTCTTTACCACTCCAAGGGGACTCAGGCCGAGTATTTTCCTTATTTGCAGATTACTTCCGCCCTATCAATTGCTGTGCACAACCTTCCCTAACACATTCACGGCGGTATTCTTGTGTACTTGTTATCATTCATCAACATTTCAGTGCAGGAGGATCCTTTTGCATGCTTCGATAACCAACAGTACGTATTACTAAGCTTTCTTTTAACATTTTTCTTGCGTACAGTGAGACAGGCGAAGTCGTCTCTAGCTCCTGGGTAGCTTGACAGTGACTGAATTTATAACAGACCTTCTCCGTTCTGCGGCCGTAAACGCTGAATACGATTCTTTGGAAGAATAGTTTAGAACTATCAGATTGTGTTTATAGCACCAACTGATCGATGTATATTGCGTGGATGCCTTGGGCTCTTGTTAACAAAGCGTTATTGCGGTTAAGGTCGACAACCATATTAGTGTGGAAATCCGAGGCCAAAAATGTTTGACGTAAATTGCAAGTATTGAAAAGATCTTGCCTCAGTCGTTTAAACACTGGATAGCGCTATCCAACGGTTAAAGCTATCCAGTGGATAATTATTAGGGGGGACAATTGCCTTATCCACTGGATAGAGATTGGATAGCGATTTAACCAGTAGATGGCGTTATCCACTTTCCGAACAACTGTGCCCTCTTCTCTGTCACAAATTAGTGTGAATCGGGTAATATACGTTTAAATGTATTTAAATTACATTTACTATTCCTATTCAAAGGTGCCCCTAGAGGGGGTTGGGGGTGAAGTCTTTTCCTTTGTTACCTTGGGGGTTCTTCCTTGTTCCCCCTTCCCCCAATAATAATAATAACTAGAAATAATTGCAAATTAGGGGAGTGCGTTCGATGGGGGGGGGGGGGTGGGGTGGTGGTTAGGGAGTGGTAGTGGGACGAGGGTGCAAAAACCTGATGAGCTTGTAATATTGAGAAATCAAAATCAAACACTTTTATCAATACGAATAACAGCAGCTGTCTTTATCAGTGTTATTGTTTATCCTGCCACTTTACAATTCGTAACTATTTCATTTTTCTTCAAAAATGCAAGAGCGTACTGTACTTTTTACATTTACCTGGCTAAACCTCTAAGAAAAGTACATGTAAGTAACAACAGGTCAAACACTGAACATGATCCTTTGCACTCTAGGATGGTCAATAAAATTGGCTAAAAATTGGGATACAGAAAAATTAAAGTTATCTGAAAAGTTTAAGCGTCGAGTATCACTTTAAACCCTTGTTGCGTGACACTAGGCTAACACGACTCACCTCATTCAACGCACCCGGAATTAGTGAGATGAAAAGGTCAACGTTTCACTGTTCAACTTCGTGTATATTTTTCAAAAATGGTGACAAACAAAAGCAAATACAACGCTGTAAATAGCTTTTAAAAGCGAAAAGATGTAATTTGTAATAGAATTAAATATGGTCGATCTAAGTTGATCTTGCTTGAACTAAAAACAAATACAGTTTGCAGAACGCATTGTTAACATAATATCAACATATCCGATTATCTTAGAATGTACATTTTCCTATATATATATATAAAAAAAACGTTATTGAAAACTGTGAGAAAAACTATAGATCGTTTTCACGGTCACGCAACAAAAAATTAAATTGGAAACCGTCCACTAGAAGAAGCCAAGAAAATGAAATGTTGTAAAAGACTACTATATAAACAATTTGTCCAAGTCTCAGTTCTTTGTGGCCCATAGTTTCTGACTTATTTGCCGAAACAGTTCACGCATGAACAGTTCACGCAGGATGTACGCTGATGACACCCACCTTACGTACGCAGGTGATAATGCAGACAATATTCAGTTGCATCTAAATCAAGATTTAGAAAATGTTCACACTTGGCTGAGAGCAAACAAACTTACTCTAAATATGACTAAAACCGAATTTATGCTTATCGGATCTAGGCAGAGGCTAAGTACTCTCACAGAGTCCCCGACATTTGCAATTAATGATTTTGAAGTTAGCCAGGTCACTACTGCAAAATCACTTGGAGTGACCATCGATGACAGACTTGATTGGAGTGGCCATATCGAGAAAGTAACAAAGAAAGTCGCTTCTGGTATTGGGGCCATAAAACGAATAAGGCACCTTGTCCCTCAGGCGACCTTACAACTAATATATCAAGCTTTAATACAGCCACACTTTGATTATTGCAACATTGTTTGGGGAAACTGTGGGATAACCTTACGGATTAAGGTTCAAAAGCTACAAAACAGAGCAGCCCGTGTTTTGACCTACTCAAGCTATGACGTAGATGCTGGTCACCTTTTCAAACTTCTAGGGTGGAAAAACCTAGCTTGCCAGCAACAATTTCAAAGAGCTACGATGGTTTACAGGTCTCTGCACGGGTTGGCTCCAAACTATCTCAGTTCTAAATTTGAAAGGCGAGAAGTCGCATATAACCTAAGGGACTCTGAAAATAAACTCAATGTTCCATTACCGCGCACAAACTATTACAAAAACAGCTTCAGCTATAGTGGCGCCATTCTCTGGAACAGTCTTCCTTGTAACTTAAGGGAAGCAGAGTCCCTTGGGCAATTTAAACGATTACTCAAAGAACTGTAAGGCACGGCATTCGTGGAAAGCAGCTTTTTTATTTAAATATTTTTATTATATTAGTATTAGGCATTTTTAAAGCTGACGAATTTTGTACCGTGGATAAATAAAGATTATCTATCTATCTATCTATCTATCTACGCACCTTTGTAGAGCTTTGTATGGAGACGCCATATTGGTGCATCAATATGGCCGCGGAAATCAACAAAAACATCTGGAGATAACTTTTTCAATAAAAGCTTTTTCTTTTCACTCGAGCACTAGCAAACGTACGCATAAACAGATTTTCTAATACTTGAAGTGGTTACACTGCCGAAAATCAAGAGGAGAGACTTTTTTTCAACGAGACAGCATTCCTATTTTGGTGTCACGCAATGTGAAAACTCGGAAGTTCAAATTGCTGTATTTTCGAAGCGAAACATGCTACGGAAATGGAAACTTGTACAGAGATTTACTTTTTGTTTATCTTCAACCTTGTGTATATAAGAATTCGTAAAACCTCGCTATTTTGACTTTACAATTTGATGACGTCACAGTGAAAACCATCTATAAACAAACCTGTAGTAAACAGAAAATCGCCAACGTTTCATCTGTGAACGAGTGTCACAAAATAGATACCAGCTCCCGGGTGAGAAAAACTGAACACATAAGATCGGGGCAAATGTGCCAGGCCGGTCAAGGATGGCGTCCAAACAGTGAAATCGCCTGGCATATAGGACGGTTACTACTTCATGTAGGGTACACAGATAGGAAGCGTTCTCCTTCGTCGAAACGCAATAATGATAACAATTTAACGTGTTGTCCCCAAAATTATTCAATTCTACCAAAGTACTGGCGGTCGAGTCCAGCTAATGGGATTACCTTAAAAGGCAAGACAAAATTGTTTATAATGGAAACACAAACGGCGGTGATAAACATGACGCAAAGTTGAGCCCAGGCGAGTGTCCTCCCGTACCGAATTAAAATGCATATTTTTAAAAACGATTGGCTGTTCTCTTGAATGAGATGAAAACGCCGCCCTTTCAAAGGATGCAGAAAATACCTAAACGCTACCATCGGTATCGGTATTTTTATCGAAAAGTTTACTAATGACTGTTTAATTCCTCTGTGAAAGATCTACACGGCATGAAATATATTAGTAAAGTGGATTAAAAACGTATTAATAGAGATCTCAGGATACTGATGATAAACAGTTTCGACATGCAAATATTTCCAGCAACAACCGGAACTTTGTGTTTGATCTAATGAAAAATTCACTTGTTCTGTCGCACAGGATGTTTCAATCGACCGATATTTTGGACAATCATGGACAAAAGTCCTTGGGACAGTACTGCATTATTCATATTTTTCTGTCATTTCTCGGTTCCCTCATAAAACAGCGCACCCCTTTCGAAATTTTCTTGCAGTTCTCCCTCCCCCAACCCTATACAAAGTTGAAACTCGGAAAAAAAGTCAGGTTACACCCGTCCAACATTGTTTGCGGAGTGAGGGGAGGGGTTGGACCTGTGTGAATTGGAAAACGCCTCAGAAATGCAAAGTGTCCCAAGACTTTTGTCCAGGATTGTAGTTGTTTCCAAATATCCTGAAAATTGCACTCATGACTAGTACGCACTAACCTCACCAAACACTTTGAGCTCTTAAAAGCTTTTTAGCTCAAGCCAACAACAGATAATTTATTACAAGCGGTAGAATGATCAAACCAAAAATTTGTAGGCCCGGGCCTACAGGTCTGTGGGCTGGCTACGCCCCTGACTTCTACTTTGCCTCGGTCCATAAAAACGCAAAAAAGAATTTGGCCAATATCCAGCCATTTCGATCTCACACTTGCTAAGTGTGACCGGATCAGTAACGCATACATATATAAACTTGTTATATCCTACTTTTAGCTCTATTCACTGGAATATCTTAATTTAGTAAAATCCAACTAGTGGTCTATTTTAAATGCTGTTTTCTGATTGGTCGAGCTACTACTAGGCTTTATGTTATAGCCCAATAGTAGCGAAAAGCGCTGGCTTTTTGGCGGCAAAAAAGGATTTAAAAGTCTATTTTTAATTAGCTAAAGCTGTTTTGTCTCGATTAGTTTTTGAACAACTAGTTGGATTTTACTAAAACAATTATTCCTTTCGCCCTCATGGCCTCTGAGTCAATATCCCATTTGGCCTTCGGCCTCATGGGCTATTGACTTAGAGCCCATTTAGGCTCGAGGAATAATTGTTAAATATTCGTCGTTTAGATTTTCCCGAAAGTTTTGTGGTATGGTAAGAGTGAACTTAAGAGAGCTATGGCAGGATCAAGCCCTTCTACACCAGCACTTTCAGCGGACCAGCACACTACACCAGAGTACAGGAACTGGCTTGCTCTAGGACATGCATTAACAACCGTGCTTTGTCAAGGTCTTCGCCCATTTATCAACAGAGAGATGATGGCTTTCTATGCAAACGTAACTGCAACACTTGCAGCTGCTGGTCCCTGTACTTGTGTCTTTGTCAAAGGAAGAAGACCAAATCAACATCATGACATGAGCAGCTGCATGTGGGCTAACGTCCTTCAACGTCATCATCATAAAGGCAGGCCAATCTGGGAACAAAGCGATTCCACCAAGTGGACGGATCCAATCCAGGGTCCTTGGGAGATAGCCAAACTATTTCTCCCTAATCTGGGGGGACACGTGATAACAAGCGCAGAAGATATGGACGTCACGGGGATCTTGAACCTAATGGACTGGTGTGATCACTTCCGAACAATTCCTCGAACATTGATCGAAGAAGTCCGTGATATTCGAAATCACAAGTGGGTACATGTGCCGAAGTTGGAGTTGACCGAAGTTGACAAAGCTAATGCCTTTGCGATAATAGAAAGTTTTCTTCAGGCTCCTTACTTAGCTCATGACCAAGAGGCCCAACAAGCTCTACGTGAAATCCAAACACTCAAATGTGTCTCAGACTTAAACAATTTTCAGGCCCAAGTTCTCAAGCAATATAAAGAAATAATTGAAGACAAAATCCTAGAACTGCAGAGAAAACTCGACGAAGAGTCCAACCTTCGAAATCAGATGGAGGGACGCTTACACAACATACAGGAATTATTACAAAACTTAAAAAATGTAATAAGAGTCATAGTTACCCTCCCAAACATTGTGAAATGTGGTGCTCTATCTCTATGCAGCGAGATGATTAAGTGCACTCGTGCAATGCTGAAAGAGCGGCTTATGCTTTGGTTACTAATCCTGTTATTGTGTAGTTGTATCACTGTTCTTGATCCAAAGTCATACAAAGACGGTAAGTAGACCTGTATGGTATTTAAAACCAGATCTTCTATCTGTTTCGATAGCTAATAGTGGGGCGCTGTGGTAAAGATTCTTGGGTGCTTTTAGGCAGTGTAGATACAAGTACTGGTTTACTCTTAGTCAGTTATAGGTCGAACGTCGTTGATCAAACTGATTATGTCCTTTTGGTGCCCATACGAACTAAAAAACAAGGAAGGTGTTGAATAGGAAGTGATCTGATCCATAGCGTTCACAGTACTGAACTAGAATTAGAATGAGAAGTTTACCACTGCAGTCTGGGGTCCACTTAATGGGTAAGGCGTCTCATCAAACGGTCAGTGTTGCTTTACGTCAGCAATTACTTTGACTATATTCGTCTTTACAGGGTGTCCTGCAGAGACAGCCGGAGTTCCAATCGACACCAAAGATATCAGTATGTCAGAGTACTTGATAACAGCTAGAGGCGAAACCTTTATCGGGCGCCATTGGCTGTATAGAGAGGTCGAAGATTCGCTGAAGGATGGTAACGTGGCGGGGGTGCTAGTGATTGGAAATCCTGGTGCAGGCAAATCTGCTTGGGCCTCTCAGCTAATTTGTTCTCGAACAACAAGCTCTACGATTCACTCCCACATTCTCGGTTACCACTTGTGTAAGTACTCAGACAAAAATACACAAATGGCAGGAAAGTTCGTTCGAAATTTAGCCGAGATGATAGCACGCAGGTTGCCCGAGTATGGTTATCTCGTTTCCAGTAGTTCTTATATTCAACGCTCTTTAGATCTGGACTGTATCCAGAATCAGGATCCTGTGGGTTGTTTTGAGCAAAGTATCATTACTCCCCTGAGAAACCTGAAAAATGAACCGACACACAATTGGTTTGTTATAGTGGATGCCCTAGATGAGTGTCTTCCACAAGGTGAAACAAGTCAAAGCATTGTTTATCTCCTAAACAACAAGATTAATCGGTTTCCACACTGGTTAAAGCTTATCATGACTTCACGAAATGAATCGGATGCCTTACTGCGTTCAACAAAAATAACAAACTTAGTCATTGATCCCGAAGATTCTAGAAACCTGGAGGATATTGAGATTTTTGTGATGACAAGGCTTTATCAGGAAAGTCTTTTACTGCACCGCATAACTTCCTGGTTCGGAGATGACAGTATCGAAAGTACAACAAAGGTAGCAGCTGCGTTACTTAGCAAAAGTCAAGGAAACTTTCTCTTTGTTAAAGAGTTGCTTAACCATTGGGAACACTCAAGACACGAATTAGGAAATGCATATGTCTTGCCAAAGTCTTTGGAAGACCTGTACCACAGTTACTTTGAAAGACTTTATCCTAGACAAAGGAACTTTAGTCCTGCGCGGCGTGTTTTGGAATTACTGGTTTCCACATTTGAACCTCTTACTCAAAAAGAGATCTTTGAAGTACTGAGAATGAAAGAGAATGACGTAGACAAAGAATACGGTTTCAAGAATAGATTGAAAGAGCTAGGACATTTTCTAAAATACGGAGAAAACAATACAATCACACTTTATCACCTCTCACTAGCTGACTGGTTAACTAATGAAAAAAACGAGAAGTTCTTTGTAAGTAAAAAGAATGGACACGAGATCTTCTGTGGTTACTACATCAATCTCATTAAAGGCGGAGATAAAAGTACTCTGTTGAAATATATTCTCACTTTGGCCCAGCACATTGCATTCGGAGGTTGGAAAGAAGCCTACATCAACGAATTTCTTAATTTTCCTTCCCAGACAGTCAATTCGTCCGATCCGCTTAGTAACAGAACTCTGCTGCATTTGGCAGCGACAATCAATACTACAGATGTGCTGAAACTGTTATTACGACATTTTAGCAGCATTGATGGCGTTGATAAGCGCGGAGTTACACCCGCGTTTTTGGCAGCACAGCATGGACTTGTAGACAATCTTGCATTGTTGGTAAATAGAGGTGCTAACGTAAATCAAAAGGCGCAGTCAATCCTTGTATTTTATAATAAGGACAAGATAAGAACCGCCTTTGAGGATGTCAAAGGTGATTGCTATCAATCATACTGTGGTCCCATTTTTCAGACCCCATCGAATTTATTTGACTCCTCAATGCTCCATGCTGCAGCCCAAGCAGGACATGTAAGCGTTGTTAGTTTTCTAATTGCTAACAATGCTACGATTTCGGCAATGAATGCTATATACCTGAGCCCAATCCAGTTAGCGGCAGAAAATGGACATGTTAAAGTTGTTAAAGTTCTTTACGAGGCAGGCGCAATTGCAGATCAAACCGCTCTACATCTCGCAACTGCAAACAATAGATTGGAAGTGGTGGATTTCCTCTTAAAAAAAGCTGGTGTCAAAGACGAATGCCTAAGGTGTGATGGCTCTTTTTATTGGGTGGATGAAATGCAAAAAGGACAGATTCTATTTTATGATGACAAACATTTAATTTTATGCCATTCTGCTCTTCACACTGCTGTTGCCTTAGGATACGACAAGATAGTTTCTCGCCTTCTTTCCGAGGAACGTAATGCTTTAAAATGCTCCGATTATTCCGGTAGATCTCCACTTCACGAAGCCGTTCAAAAAAACCGAATGAGCATCGCCGATATTTTGCTTGATAAGCAACCGGAGATGATACACTTTAAATGTGAACACTGGCAAGAAGTCGACACATCAGAGCTTAGTTATGAAGAGCGAACTGAATACAACGCAAATGTTTGTCATTGTGGTTATACTCCTCTCCACCTTGCAGCGCGGTATGGACTTCAGGAAATGGCGATATTGCTCATCAGAAAAGGGGCTCGTGTTGATGACCGGGATTGCAACGGAGCCACTCCCATTCATGTGGCTGCTTGTCACGACCAAGGAGGCTTAATTGTTGTATTTTCTCATCCAAATGTTGGGGGCGACATCAACACCAAAACTCTGAATGGATCCACCCCTCTTCATATCGCTGCGGCTTGTGGAGCTGTAGAAGTAATTAATTATATCCTCTACATGAACGCAAACCCGTCGGCTGTTGATGATTACGGTCTGACGGCACTGCACTACTCAATTCGAAGTATCAAAGCAAGTGAACTTGGTCGAATAGTGTACCGTGATGACATCAAATTTGGAGACCGAAAGGGTCATTTGTCTGGCTTTTACTCAGACAATCAGCAGGTAAAGAGTTCTGACCATTTAAATTGGTTAGACATCCTTCTTAGGTTAGTTTTTACAGGCTGTGATCTCGATGCCGTTGATAAGAAAGGACAAACAACATTACATATTGCTGCTGAGAATGGATTAGCCGACGCTGTTAACGTTCTTCTTCAAAGGAACGCATCACTGGATAAAAAAGACATTAACGGAAAGACACCGCTAGATCTGGCAGTTGAACATTCACAGCGTCCGATTTTCCAATTTTATTCACCTTTCCTTTTACGGACCAAAATAGAAGATTTGCAACAAGCTTTAAGTGATCATGAGATGGTCGTTTTCCTACTTCTTTATCATGGCGCTTTGATTGGGAAATGCAGGCAGAAAGAAGGTAGCTTGCTACACCAGGCAATCCTTAACCAACAGCCTTACATTGTTCAACTCCTATTGCTAAAGGGAGCGAGTTTAAGATGTAAAGATAGCCTTGGGCGAACACCCCTTATAACTTACCTTCAAAATGGTGGAACATTCATAGATGTGCTTCTCAAAAACTTTGTCAAGTACGTTCCTATCGAATGTGGAAGGCCTTTTAACCATTCAGTGTATCATCTTTTAAGTTATCGCACCCCAACAATTCAAGACGATAATTTTTTCTACGTCAGAAAATGCAGTGGACATGATGACCTGGTTTGTGAAATAAAGTATGGTGCTCTCGCTGAAGCTCTTGAAAGTCACCCTAAAAAACACAGCGTATTGAGTTCCTGCTTAGACGCTGAGGGATTTACACCGCTACACAGAGCTGCACAAGGAAGCAATCTCATAGCAGTTCGATATCTTCTTGCAAATGGTGCAAATGATTCTGTTTTAAGTCCACATGGCTATAACGCTTTAACACTGGCTGTGCTTTATGCCGGAAATGAAAGGCGCACATGGGAATCTCGCAGATTTAAGGAAGTTAACGAGGATGATAAAGTATCACAGGCCGAAACAACATCAATTGAACTTCTTCGTTATGCATCAAAAAATCGGGGATTTAGAATTCGATGTGACTCAAGCAAGCCAGAAATGAGTATTTACCATTTGGCAGCCTTTTCTGGTCTTGTAGAGTTTATAGACGTAGTGTTAAAAGAAAGTGATTCTCCAGCCATAAACGTGAACTGTCCTAATTCGGACGGAATAACTCCGATGTACCTGGCAAAATTTGTCGAAAACAATAACCCAAGTTACCGTTACGATCGTTGGCGGCAGGTTATCGAGTTAATTAAAGGTCACGGAGGGGAGATGCGATACCCAAAGCAGGATGCCGAATATAATATAATTTTCAGAAGATTGTTTGGGGAATTTACCTTAGATTTGCGACCCGAACAATTCCGCTTCATCACTTCGCTGACAACATTGTATGAAAAAAGTGAGAATACTTTATTTCATTGTTCATTTGGTGTCTCATTCAATATTACGAAATTTTTACATTCTCTTCAGTCTCCTCTGTCTTTATGGATGGAATTAGAAAAAGCTATTGAAGAACTTCCGTACCATCATAAGTCGAGGTTTCGAAGAAGTATGAAACAGTGTTTAAAGGAACAAAGACTTAGAGATCAGTACTCTTCAAAAGTTACAAAGATCTCTGCGAGTTATAGCCTTTTTGTGTCTCCTGACCAGAACCGAAAGTTTCAAGAAAGACTCCTTGGGTTGATGCTGATGCAACACGTTGAATTGAGATACTTTTCCTGCATTAGATCCTTATATTATAAGCTGAAACCATTTTTGAATGCGACAACTGCAATGAAAACTCACCCACGACAGTATGAGAAAATAACTCCTTTCTTTTACCTTTTTACGATTTGTGAAGACATCTGGTCTGCGTTAGTAGATTACAAACATGGTAAGTTAACTTCATTAGATTACACATTTCACTTGGACGAACTCTTAAGTCGTTTTAGTCATTTCGTAAGCGAAAGGCTAAATATACTCACAGGAAGTAGCTCCAATACTATGAATCTGTTTGATAGCCTCATCGGCAAAGAGTGGCCACTGGAGTTTTTTATAAAACGTTTTTACGGTGCCTTTAGCCAGTATGATTACCTGAAAATTCTTCATTTCGACTACATAAATCCAATGAACGATACCAACGTCCCACTAAGGAAAAAGGCTACAAGTTATTACTGAGGAACATCACTCCCGATGGCTTTCACTCTGATCGTTAAGTCATTAAGAAAACAGATGCGAAAATAACTTTGAGCGAGACTTATCCTGTACCAAGCAGTTTGATATCTGGGGAATAATTACACTTGTTCGAATTTTGTGCGTCAAAAGTCAACGAGACACGTAGCGCCGAGTTGAGTGTAGCTAAATGTCGTGGGTCGTGGGTGTGAGTGTGGGTGGGGGTAAATGTCGTGGGTAAAAAAAAAAAACGTTTTCCAAAAAAACAAAAATTAAAAAATTAAATAACAAAAAGTTGTAAAACTCATGAAACGAAAATCTCCGTGTGCATACCAGCCCTATTCCCCCTCCTAGAGGGCAACCAAAGCAAATAAGCGAATCCGCTAGCACAAACGGACACTAAAAAGACATTTAGGTGAAAAATAAAAGAAACTTTGTGCACTATGTAAATCCGAGGCAGGCTACAGAAAAACTGGAGACTGAGCTGCTTTTTCGCAAAGATATCAACATATTCGTGACTGAAACGTCCGTTCAGAATCATTACAACAAAGATTTTGTACACAAAACAAAACAAAAAAGAATCGAGAAAATTATATATTTCCGTACAACAATAATATTTTCATACAGTCTCGTCTTAACTTGAAAGGTTGTGCATGAAGGTGGTTGCTTTGTGAGCTAAGAGACCTAAAACTTCTTTAAGAAAGGCTTATATCCAAAAATATGAAATAACTCAAAATTGTCCTCTTTGCCCCTCACTTCCCCTCCCGTTTCCCACGGTGATCTCATTCCATCTTGTTAAAAATCTCCGCTGATCATTGGAATTGTAAATCGAATAAAGATTAATAGCGAGTCAGAGCTGTCCCATACTTTCTGCACAATGCAGGTTTCGACTTATTTTACGTCTGTTTCGTTCATTTCGCGGATCGCTCAGGTATGGATAAATCTTCATCGGTAACATGTCTTCATACAGAGATGTTGTGAAAGGGGAGCCAAGAACCACGTGGCTATATAAGGAAACATCAGGAAGAGGACGAAGAAGAAGCCGAGAAAAGGGAAATCAAGGAGTCGAAGATTTTCGTTTCATAAATACTTTACAACTTTTTTCTATTTTTTTTTTCAATTACTTTACTTTATCATTTTTTTCTACACTTTATTTACCCACGACCCGCACCGGCACACCCACGACCTCTACCCACTACCCACGACATTTAGCTACACTCCGCCGAGTTTATTATTTTTCGCTCTTAAGCCTGGTTTTCACTAGCGCATAAGCATAAACATAAGCATAAGCATGAGGACATACGCACGTGCAGAATGGCATATATATTTGACTCAATCCTCGATACCAACTCCCCTCAATCCGATGATAAACAAGATGGCGGTCGAAGCGTCCGTCATATTACTTTTGATATGTTCGCTTAAAGTCTGGGTCAAACAGGTCAAAGTGACCTATGATTGGTCCACTGCCTTGTGCCTATGCTTTTGCCTAGTCGACCCCGTTCTCACTAGTCAAAGCTACGACATAAGCATAAGCATAAGTACAAGAAGAACAAACACGTCCGTTTTTCCTGTGCTTTAATTTATGCTTATGTCGCCGGTGTTTTCACTTGCTTACACATGTGCTTGTGTTTATTCTTATGCTCATGCGCTAGTGAAAACCAGGCTTTAGAAAACCAGAACGAGAAGTCGTATTGTCTTAGTAGAAACCCGGTGGCATATTAACTTCTATTCTCTAACAGGTTTTAATGAAAATATGATTTAAGAGCGGCTCCGCGTAATTATCAACTAGACGAGGAAATAGTCAAAAAATGACCTAGCCTCAAACTGGGCCAGAATAAAGCCTTATGTGCCCTAGTTACAAAATCGTTGTTTAAGTACGATCGAGGGAATAATATTTTTTTTAACGAATTTTTTTCTTCGCGAGGCCTAAAATGGGTATAAATCATGCGAAATTAGAGTCATATTCAGTGGCTCGTATATTTTAAAATAAAGTTGGCTACTAAAATATAATGACACTTCATATTTTTACTATCTTTCCTCTATAATTTTAACTGATTAGTTGGCGATTTGGTCAACAAGAGATTTTTGGAGAAATTTTCAAAGTTGTTAACTCAAAATCGCTTAATCAACCGTCAAAATTTAGCACTTTTTCACGAGCTAAAAAAGCGGATTGGTACATGGCTTTGAACACCAATAAGGCTTGTTTAGCCTGAAAGAGCATTCTTTTTTCTTCAAATTAGCGAAATAAAATTTTTGGGTAAATGAAATCACGAGCGCTGACAAAGCCAAGCAAATGTAAATGTTGCACCAAAAACGGGCGAAAAAACGTGACCTCTGACCGAAGTACAACCAAATGCGAATTAAGGTAGGCGCCAAACCTTTTATTATTCGGTAACTTCTCGAAACAATTTTGGTCCGAAATGTATATAGGTTTTTTAAAATAAAGCTGAGTTAAAGTGTTAAGTGTCAAAAAGTCCACAAAGCGGTAAAAAAATGCAACCAAAGTCCGGAGTAATCTGTTCCGTTTTCTGAATTTTATGCAGCGATTTAACGAATTAACAATTTTTCATCCAACGATACCCACCTGAGACTGTGTCAGTTCAAGAGTCCATAGAACTTCTCAGAAGATTCCTCGGAAACGCCTCCAGAAGGAAATGAATGGAGAATTTGAACTTATAACTGTAGCAACTTCACTTGCCGCCACGGCAAAACGAAAACAACTGTCGAACTTCCACAGGCAAACCAGCTTTCAGTGCAGTCATGCAAAGCATGTCACGTCACGTAATTCTGCCCCGCGCATTTGGGAAGGAGGGAAGAAATTCTACCATGCTGTGTGCTAAAACATTTATGAAATAAAACTAGCTTTGGACTGTATCTTTTGTAACTAGTTAAAGAAAAGAATAACTTTTCCCCCTGTTTTTATGAAAACGTCAAGTATGAAACTTTTGGCCTTAAATTTACCAACTGATGCATCCTCCCCCACCCCTGGATCCGCCCCTGCAAAGATGTTACACTGAGTTCGGAGCCATTCAAGGCTCATGCTGCCGCGTGAGAGTAAATCAATTTTTTTTCAAGTTATATTAGAGTTTCACTTGTAGCACGAAAAACACAGTATAATTTTACTGATGTAATATTGTAAAATAATTGCCTGATCATAGGTATCCTAGAGGAACAAGAGAGATATTTGTTTTGAGCCTTTCTAATTATTCGGTTTCCTGTGGTTCGGTGGTTCCTTGTGTTGAAACATCCCGACTAAAAGCCAACAACAGGGAATGAGCTCTTCGGAAGCCAATGAACTAGTGGGCGGATCCGGATCTCAAAAAAAGATTTGGATAAGCAAAAAGGGCAAAATCAAAGGAATTGATCGGCGAAAAGAGAAAATAAACCCAGTACCAACAAAATTAAGAATGCAGATGATATCATTTTTTCCGATATTAGTCGGTTTGCAACACAAACCTTTGTCGGGGCTGATACTGTGGGGTCGTTACCAAAATTGAATTTAAAACTAAAGTACATAATTGTAATATAATTGGTTATTACAAAGATATTCTAATAAACCTGAGCTGACGCAAGTTAATAAAGCGACCAAAAATAACGACCTGGCCCTGGTTGATCAAACGACCGATAATTTTTCCAACAGATACCGTGTGGCACAAAATTTTTGCGGGAGTTTATTTTTGCGGGTTGGCGATTTTTTGTGTTTTGCGGGAACTAATTTTTGCTATTAGATCGACAGACTCGTTTTTCTTGCTGGGGATTAATTTTTGCGATTTCAGAAAGTATAACCAGTACCCAGCATTGATAATATTTTCGTTTTTATCGAGTACGTGCAATAGAAATACAGTTTTCAAACAGTACCAAGTGTGCGTCAGTTTAAGTTAGAGAATACAATATTTCCTCTGGAGTAAATTTTTGCGGGAAAAATTGTGCGGTAATTTTTATTTGCGGGAACTTATTTTTGCGGATCGCTGAAAAAATCGCAAAAATTAGAACCCACAAAATTTCATGCCACAAGGTAACGGCATATGCCTTTTTAGATTTCACTTAATGCATAAGAAACAATTTTAAATTGAAGGTTCTCCTTTTTAGTGCAAGTTCTGACAGTCATGAAATCCTATCAATAAAATTCAGCCGTGAGTGAAGTATTGAAAATGACAAGAAGGCAGAGGGAAAAAAATAATAACAGATCAGTCCACTGGGTTTAAAATTGTTTAGCCTGACATTTTATGTAAGAGAACGGGAACGTCATTGTTCTGGAGCGATGAATTTTTTTTTAAAGCACGTTTCATGGCAAAAATTTGCCAAAACTTTAACTGAGAGCCATTGCTAGATTCTATGGTATTTTTTCTCGTTCTGTTTGGTCACATGAACCGTGATGTCAGCTTTGTAAGTTAAGATAACCATGTTGTGGACATGCCTCATATTATCTCAGTCGTGACAGATGAAACCTTTATTACGCTTGGGTTAAAATGTTATTACAGATGGACGTTTATTACACTTGGGTCCAGTTATTACACTTGTGCCTTCCACAAGCTCCACTGACAAGAAATCCGGATCCCTGAAGCGAATTTGGCCTAAGACGCAACCAACCATTTAGCCTCCTTTCTTGGCCTCCCTTGGTGGCATTTTAAGGGCAGTCATATTTCACCATATCTCCTCCCTTACCTGAGACCAAGATATGTTTCATTTATACCAGTCTATAAATAAAGCGAAGAACAAATCAGAAAATTGAGGCTAACGTTGTTGAGATCAAAGGTGAAAAAAAAAATTCTCCCTTTTCATTTGTGGGGAAGGAGGAACTACGAATCCCCTGAAAACGCCTGCTCGTCAAGTCCAAGATTATATAGGCGAAGAGGCACCTTTGCCCTCAAGCAAGGGCAAAAATGAAACAGTCCAAAGCTAGTTTTATTTTTAGTGCTAAATTTTGGCGGTGG